TTTTCTTTGAGGGTTTGTTTAAGTCAACATTGAAATCGCCTACAACATAGGTTGGCTCACTTTTAGTTTGTGCAAGAATGGCACTTAAAAGATTTATGCAGCTTTCTAGTTCATTAATGCTTGGGTTGTAGCACACCAATAAGTTAATTACTCTGTTATCAATTTTTAGCTTCATGTGGACAATTTGGATAATATCACCATACGTATCAAATTTGAGACATTTTATTTTAGATTTCATATATATAGATATACCACCACCTTTCTTTTTCCGAACATAGTGAAAATCATTGTAATGCTTGATCTTGTTGAATTTCGTATCATCTTGTTCCATCCATGTTTCAACAAAACATATTAGGTCAACTTCTCCATGTCTATCTAAAACTTCTTTGATTGAATCTAGTTTACCTTCAGGATTAATGCTCCTTACATTTAGGTAAGAACATTTAAAATCAGTCTTAAAATCACTCTCTCTATCTTTTGGTGTGGTTGAGGATAGACATTTCTCAATGACTATCATTGATGTTCTTGACTGTGTTTACCCTTGTCGTCAAGTCCTAATTTCTTGGCTACATGTTCAAAGTCATCAGGAGAGTGCACTTCATATTTTTTGTTAGTGGGGTTTTCCTTGTCCATTTGCTTCCTGGCTTCTTTAGGTACCTTCCTTGCTACCAAAATAGTACCATTGTTAGTCCAGGTGGAGCAGCCTTTCCCATTGAAATATCTTCTAGTTAGCATGGCAAGGTAGCGTTTGTTTGGAGAGAGATTTTCGTTGATGAAGACTCTGAGCGGGGAATTCTTGTAGCCGAGCTCTTCAGCAGTTATAACTTTTTTCATCCTATCCTTCATAATATCTTCCTTTTTCTATCTATTTACCAGTCGAACAATAATTGGTGGGGGTTTGATGGAGGACTTGGTACGAAGACGATGAGCTGCATCAATGAAGCTATCATCCAATTCAATCTCTAGTATCTTTCCTAATTCTTCAACAATATGGTACACATTCTCCCCCTTTACATATGGAATTCCTTGTATCTCTAAATTGTTTCGCCTGCTGTATTCTCCATTGAAAGCAGCAGTGTCAGCTGCTTTGCAGGACACCTCTTTCACCCTCTCGACTTCTTCTTTTAAGTTATCTACTTCCACTTCCAGAGGCTTAATTCTATTCTCCATAGTGTTCTTTAGGGATAATATTTCATCAAGGATCATCTTGACATCGGCCTTGGTAGCAGCCGATCCATCACCTTGTCCTGCCATAACCTCCTTCGGTAGACAGTTCGTGCAAACTAATTCTTGAAATTGATTGTTAAGTCCTCCACTAATTAGTTTTGCGCATTTGGACTTGTGAACCGGTTTAAAACACTTGGCACAGTCTTGAGCATTGCATCTTTTATCAAAATTAGCTTTACAAACTCGACAAATCTCATTCATGGTGTCCGCACCGGGCACCGCCTTCTCAGCTTTTATGTTTCGTGTTGCAGTAAAATCTATATTAGAATATGCTCTTTCGTTGGACACTACTTTCTGGTGTTTTTGTTTTTTCAATTTGAGTAACTTTATTGTCAACTGTCAAGTCTAAAAGTTTGTTCTTGCTATACATATTTTAATTTCTTTTCGTGGGTTCGCGCCCCACCGTATTGTGTCCTTGTATAGATCCTTACTAATTTTAACTTCAACCATGCAATAATGTTTATCTAGGCACTATATATTTTAATTGCTATGTGTTCTGCCAATATTAGTTTATCAATAAACTGTTATAAATTCAATCCATTTAACTTTACTTAAATTTTATCAATCCAAAATAAATCTATTGGTTATCAACGGCGGCGGGTTTAATTATATTCTTGCTCTTACTAGCTAAACTGCTATCTTCCAATTTATCTATTATTTCAATATTCTTTTGCCCGCCTGGCGCCCTAAAATAAAGCCGTTTTTAATTTATAGATTTGCCACACTCCTTTGACTTTGTACAAGCACTACCTTTTAATTTCACTCACACTTGTAATGCGGCCAGGACAACCCGGCGTCCGAGACGAGCACCTTTGTGAACCACCTGCGCATCCTTTCCACCCTGAGCTAGTCCGTGACAAATGGCGCCCAACGTGATGCTTTTTCTCGGTTCTGTGTACAGTGCTTCTAAATTTTGAGTGTTGGCAAAAATTTTCTGCATCCTACTTTTAAAATCTATTGCGAACTTTCTAAAACCCTTGCATTGTATTTGTTTTTCATCTTGTGGTTTTGTTCACCACTCTTTATACCTAATTTTATTGCTGTGGCTGGTTCCCCTCTTTTCATTGTATTTTAAATTGCAATTTACTTTTAAACTCTTTCTATGCCCATAATATTTTTGTGTGCTTTACTACTTCAAATGTTTTTTTTTGCACTTTGTAATAAATTGCAAATATTGTAAATGTTCTATATTGTGGCTTTTGTGAAATTGTGTGGTGAATTAGTGTCTTCTGGTGTTGTGCCCTCGCAGTGCTGCAGGGTGAAGAGTTCCAAGTGAATTTTCAGTGAAGTGATTTTGCTGATCTCCAAAGATAGTGACTTTATTTTTACAAACTTTGAATTTTGAATTCGAGCATTTGCAAGATGGCTCGTGTTCCAGTTCCGATTGATTTCGGATCGTTCAGTACTGATGAAGTGGAGTACGAGTTGGATATTCGTGGCCTGCGGCATTACGTCCTAAGCCCGGCCGACAAGTGCAAACTTTTATCTGAACAGTGGGGTACCCAGGTGGTTATCGCTAGACTGGAAGAATTTTCTGTTGCCCATGAGATTGCCGCACTGAGGCAGAAGACTGCAGAATTGGAAGTGTTGGTTTTGGAGAACGCCCCTATTCGTCGATTTTCTCGACGTCTCAATGGTCTCCTTGCTCATTGTGTCCATCGTACTCGTCGTTCCATGTTCAGAGGCGAGTTAGAGGAGTTCAAGAAGGTGGCGAAGCGGCTGAATAGAATTCAAGAAGCCTGCATGCAGGCCTATTCTCAGTTCAACTTCCCTGCATTGACAATCGTGGAGGACGACTTGGAGTCACGGTTGGCGGAGCTATCTTTGCACTCCAAGACTTCACACGCCACTGGTGGAGGTCGGGAGTCATCTCGAACCTCTAGCAAGAGTAAGAAGAAGAAGAAGAGGAAACACAAGAAGAAGAGTTCGAGGCGGCGTTCCCTCAGTTCGTCTTCTGAAAGTTCTTCCAGCTCTTCATCCAGTTCTGCTTCTGATCGCTCTGCTACTCGTTCTCGAAACAGCAAAATTCGAGAAGTTGCTCGCTTGCCCTACCACTACAATGGAAAGAGGGAAGAAGATTTACATGAATTCCTGTCGAAGCTGGACAACGCTGCAGAAATGTATGGCTACATCGGGAAGGACCTCGGTGGGATGGGGGCCTTGCTGCAAGGGAGTGCCCTTACGTGGTTCTCGGCGAGGAAGCATGAATTCTCCAGTTGGACTCAAATCCAGAAAGAAATCAAGGAAGCATGCAACCCCGCTGGCAATGATGCTGAAACCTGGGAGAGAATAGATAGCCTTCGGCAAACCTCTGATGAAACCTACGCCGTGTATGAAGCTCGGGCCGAAGAATTGTTTCTCCGCCTTAGTGAGTCTCCTACTGACAAGGACAAGTTGCGGAAGTTACTAGACGGCCTGCATTACTACTACCGTCATGTCTGCTGATTTACTGCTTGGTCTGGATTTCTGGCGGAGATACAACTTGCGTCCTGACTTCATCTCTAACACCTGTGAAGTGGGAAGTGTGGAGGTGTTCT